TATTGGTCTTATTTCGAGCTAATAAGGTGAACGTGCAGGCTTACTATAGCTTAATTATGCTTATTTTAAGCAGTGAAAAGTAAGTTTTACTCGGTCAAAATTTCTTGGCCCCATTTTGGGAATATAAAAATTCTGCAAAAAAGATCTGTCGAAATTCTGTCAAAGATGCCTAATTTTTTTTTGTTCAGATCTTTTTTTCACACCACGCAGAAAAAACGACACTAATTTGAAAAAATAATAATAAATTGTATTTTTTAAGACTATGGTCGGAACATTCTGCGCTACTTGCATAGTTACCGGCTATCCTTATTTATATTTTTTAAACTATCAAAGTGGTTTAGACAACAACAAAACCATGTTGAAATAGTTTTTTTTTCGTTTATTGAAAATTTTTGTGCAAAAAATCACTGTGATCAAAATATTCTAAGGTATTTGCACAACCAATGGCTATTTTTGTTTTCTTATGTAAATTTTATGAAAATCTCTATTGATTCCAAAATGTACTATATCGCATTATATCGTATCATAGGGTTCAGATAAAAATATTTTCGCCTGATTTATTATTTCCAAGGCAAACAAAGGCCAGTTACAAATAAAAGCATCAAATACATAAAGACTACTTAGATTCTAATAAAAAATATATATTCAATGTGCGAATAGTTCAAATCATTTTAAGTAAATTTTTCGTGATTTGTGACATAAATCTTAGGCCATACGAGCTTTTACCTATAAATTTAAATTCAAAAAATATCGCCTGGAATTTTAATCCCAAATACGAAAATCAGAGCCAGAATAGTTTTTAAGGCCAGATGATTTTTCTTGAGGGACACAAAAGATGCATATAGGCGAAGCGAGTGTCCAAATGTCGAAGTTGAAACGGAAAGTTGTCATGTTAGATGTGTGTTCTTATGGAAACAAAGAACCCTTTGATTCACAATGGAGTAAACCAAGTGTCACAATTTAGTACCATCATAACGACCAACACTTTCTTGGCGAGCATTGTACCATTTGTGTCGTCATCACAGAAATGCAATCTGACAACAATAGAGATATGATTTGACTCGCTAGAGTAATTGTGTTTAATGAAGCCGACACCCATTGTTTGATTGTGTTTTTGTTGGTGTGTATGGGGGCCGGAGACATTTTAATTGGGGGTCATTTTACGGCCTAAATATAAGTGACAAATCGAGAGAAGAGAGACGGCTGCTCGTGACAAGCATCATTGCACTTGTAAGGACCTCTAAACTACAATACACAACAGAGGTAGTTATTAGTAATACTCTCTCCCAGTTGTCTTGAGAGGGAAGAGTTTCAGGTGGTTGAACAGAAACAAAAAGGACAAAAGGGGACAAGCGTCATAAAGGGAAAAGTGCTGAAAAGGGGAATAGTTCAACTAACTCCCACAAGCAACTAAAACCAATCGAGAAAAAATGTTCTTCGAATTTTAGCTATCTATTCTTCAGTCCAGATGAATCAAAAACGATTAAAAATTTTGACTTATTGAGAAAAAACTTCTAAACTTCAAATTATCCTTATGTATTATTTCAATAAATTTATAGGAGCCCAAACATTTTAACATCAATATGGAATTACAATGAAAAAGGATAAGTTAATCAATGAGAATAGTGTCATAACATATTTGAAAAAATCTCCAAAAGACTCCTCAAAACTCGTCGGTCAACTTATTACTTACAAAAACTATCTCCATCTAAATTTAATTTAGTCTGTTCTCTTCTCTTGATTTTGTTCTGTAGTAAGAAGTCACTTGTTGAAATTGTTTTTGTGAGAGGAACAGGCGAGGGATCCACTCAAGTGTGTGTGTGTGGGAGATGCCCCCACCCCCCATCCCCACACACACACATGACTATATACTAGGGGTGACATGAATATATGCATGGCTGGTGGCACTGAGTGGCAACTTCTATCCGACACAGTCACAGACGCTCAAGATGCCACTCATCAAATTACATTTGTGATTAAACATCCAATTCAAACCCGCTATGTGAACATGCACTACATATGTGGAATAATAACCACTCAAAATACAAAATGCATCTATCTACAGAAGTCCAGAAGTTATGCAGTAATGTGAAAACTAGTCAAAAAACATTTTTATCATTCAATTTTTCATAACTTTTTTGAAAAGTGACAGATTAAATTACTAAACTTTCAGAAAAAGCGGGAAAATTATGAGTAAAAAAGTGCAAAAATGAAGAAAAATATGTGAAAACTTCAATTAACATCATTTTGTTCAGGTTTCGAAATTTTTTCAACGCCCAATTTAAGTTGAACAACTATATTTAAAGTATGAAAACTTTCACTGCAGCAAATGTTGTTGTCAGATTTGAACTACAATGTGTATTTGAAAATGAAAAAAAAAAATGAAAAAGAAATTGGCCGAAAATGGGAAAACAGGCTGACAATTGACATGCAGACTCATAGACACTTGAAAACATTGCCGACATTGATGTGCAAAATGACACGCTCTTCAAAATGCCACACATTCATATTTTAGATGAATAAATTTCATCAACTTCACATTCTTTTAAATAGAGAACTTCTGAGTGTGAAGTCACAACTCAAATGTGACAAAATAGGGAGATACGTGCTAAAATTGGAATGTTATAATTTTTGTAAGAATTGCTGATAATGTGACAAAAAGTTAACATGCTTGAGAAGTTTGAATGAGTTTGCAATATGTCAAGTTGTGTCAGACAAAGCGAAGATTAAAAAGTATTGAAGAATTTGAGACTACTCAACTGTGCATCATTCAACAACTGAATGTCGATTCACTAGAAGGAAGAGCCTAAAAATTTTGACGAAGTAACATGAAAAAAGGAAAATTCTATCTGCCTTCATACATCCGAAAAAAAACAGCTCTATAAATATGCCTAAAAACCAAACATCAAAACAGATTATGAAATTTCGATCTTGCCTACGATGCTTGTGAAAAAATCAAGAAATAAAAAAAAACGGAGATAAAAGTGACAAATTTCAAGGGGGAAAATCTCTTAAAATATTAAAGATCAATTATGATTATTAAAAGTGCTAATAACTTTGGCGACAGGTTGTATGGTAAATTAACAAATTGATCGACGTTTTATATTCAAAAATTCATCACCTAAAAGCCTTTTCTGCTTTTCAATCAAGTGGCAAAAACAACACAACCCAACTCAACTCAATTCATTGATTAGTGATCGCTTTTTGGTTCTCCCGCTTAACTAATCGCTCCGCCGATTTAAGAAGCGACGTTGCGGACCCAAATTTAAGACGGGCAATTTGGGGGTAATTTAGGGCGAAGGGAGGAAACCATTAATCTACTGTGAATTTATTAGCTGGAAAGACAGAGAGAGAAACGAAATACTTATTGTTTTTTCATTCACTATCGGTTCGGCTGCTTGTTTGCAAAATGAGAGAATTTATTGACAACGTGTGACGGAATTTGGGGAAATGAGACCTAGTTGGGGGGGGGGGACATTCTCATACTAAGATGCTGCAATGGAATATTTGTTATATTATGCATAATGCATAGCTTAGGGACTATGGATCAATTGTGATTGTGGTCATCAATAGGCCGTCAAGTGACTTCGGGCTAATTATAAGAGGAGAGCCTCGCCCTTTTTCCCTTATGCCTCAATTATTCGGCCTATGAACGTCAATATTGCAGTGTCAGAATCGATCGGACAGCGCTTGATTGTATCAATAGGGTTCCCACCTCCCCCCCCCCCCTTAAGCCACAACAACTGATACAAGAATTTCCATTATTTGCTCATAAAAAGGGCAGACAAAAATTCATTGTTCCAAGTCAATGAAAAACTGCATTAATCAGAACAAAATGTGAGTTTTAAAGCAAATGAGGATATTTTTTTCTATGAATGAAAAATTTTCTCAAAATTCAATGATTTTTCGTTGATAAATTGATGTCTCTTAGGTTTTTTTTCCAACTCTTCTATTTAAAAAAAATGATGAAATTTAAGCATCCTTTGAAATAATTACGGGAAGGCGTTTCAAAATTCAAATGGCGGTCACTACTTGACTTTAAACACATCGCTTAACACTTTTTTCCGGCCAGCTTCAAGTCATTTTCTGGAAATTGTCGTCGTTTAATTTGCCTGTTCACTTTCCCTCAATTTGATGCCAATGGCAATTTATTAGCACACGAGAAAAGTGTCCTTATACTTGATGGGTCTTGGAAATTTTCCTAAAATTACTCAGATCAAAAATAGGAAAAAGGCGGTAGCCGCGGCAAGAACGATTAAGTTTGATCAGTGCACTTTTTTCTATTTCCGAGTTATTTTCTGTTCTTTTTTTGTTTGTGTCTGTTTAATTGAGCATATTTTAGCTGAAAAGGGGAGGAAAGAGAGAGAGGGGGGGGGAGGGGTTGGACGTGTTAGTGAAGTGTTAGATAATAAATCGACAGTAGGGGTGATTGAGAATTGATGTGAGCTGAGAAGTGAATGTGAGTTAATGCATAGAGTTGGGGGCTGAAACACTACAAGGGAAGCAGAAGCAATAAATTAGAAAACAATTCAATCGAGTCGAATTAATTCACTTTGGGATTTGAAGGGTTTCAATTTGAGAAGTGAATTGCCTGTTTGAGAACCTCGAGTGATTTTCCCTCTAATGGTTTCGCTTTTATGTACTCTTTTTCAACCTCAGATTACAATAAACACGCCAAAACACAAACAAACAACGTTCATCAAAATCAAAACCAAACATCTTTCTATCAACAATTCAAAATAATCAGCGAAACGTAGTTTTTTAAAAAAAAAAAGATGAGATTTTTTAAAACACTGCTTTCATTGTCTATTCCAAATTTGAATGTTAAATTTTGAAAACAAGACAAAACAGATACAAAAATTAAGCTTTCCAAAATTTTTAAATCTTATGTTCCACGATTCATTAAAAAATTTAAGATCGCATAGTTAGCTTGTAGTGTATGTGAGCATAACAAATTAACAAACTTAGTATTAAGCAGAATGACTTTAATTTGTACTTACTTGAAAATGACTTTTTTGTCGTTCTCGAATTGCTGATGGTCTGTGACTCCCAACGAAGAGCCGCCAGTGGTGAGAGGCGTGTTGGACCCCGCGACAACTGTCGTGTCCCCACCCCCACCCCCGGGTGTGTTGTGATTACTGGCCCTTCCTCCCCCTGTCCCGGCGCCACTTGATAAATGAGCAGCGGAGTTAAGGGGGATCGAACCTGCTCCCCCTGAGGAAGGACTGCCTTCGGTGCCACCGCTAAGTTGTTGCGGTTGTGCCGCTGTTAAGAGACTGTTGGCGGTGCTGTTCGAAAGAGGCGACAACTCTTGCTTCATGTTGGCAGAGTTATTTAAAGACCCGCCGCTAGTCATAACTGAGTTATAATTTTGAGGCGTGGTCCCGGGTAAAGGCATATTAAGTGGGGACGTATTCTGCTGCGGCTGTTGCTGGACATAACCTCCCATGTTTGAGGTCCCGTTAAGGGGGGACGTCAAGTGGTGTTGGGGACCGATGAGGTGGTTGTTGGCAGAATTGCCCCCCAGTAGACTGTGGGATAGACTATGCATTATTTTGCTGTCATTATAATCAAATGAGGCCGGCGCATACTGTGTGTTGTTGTTCAAGTGAGTTAAACCCCCGCTACTTGTCATTGATTGCGAATCAAAATTGAGCGCCGGGTTATAAAATGTTTCCAGTAGAGCTGCCGTCTTGAACTCCAAACACTAGCTTTTCTCGGAAATTTCAAGTTATTCTTTGACCGAACGTCCAATTTATGTCAATTTCGGGGCTGATTGTTTAAGCGAATTAGATTTTTATGGAGCAGCTTTCAGTTCGGCTCTGTAAATATTTCGACTTCGGTTCGTTTCGTCCAGTTGAATACCCTGTTTGTGTTGATTGATGTGTCATAGTTCTGCGTTTCCTGGATAAGTAAACACCTGAAAAAATTGAAAAGTCAAGTTGGGATTACTAACTAATCTGCTAACTAGGAAACGAATGTCAACTGAATAGGCGTGATGTTATTTTACAGGCAGTTAGGAGGCAGGGCTAATATTAATAAACAACCCCTCACCCCCCCCCCTGAAGCAGCATCTGCCTTTTTATTGGGTTTGCATCATCAACACATTAATCAATTACACACCTGTCTAAAACAGTCAGTCGCACATTCAATTCTAACTATTCCGACTCCATAACACCAATTTATCTATCCCCCTATCTCTATAAAAATGAATCCAGGCTAAATAAGAAACTTGAAAGGATTTACTTGAAAGAAACTCCAATATTGTCGAAGCAAGGCACGCTTTTTCTATATTACACGCTACTTTTTGTCATTTGATGAAAAATATCATTTGGATTTTGCCTTTTTGATTAAAAAAAAAAGTGAAAAAGTTTATTTTTTTTAGAGCTAAAGAATTTTTTAAAGATTGACCTCCTAAATGAGCACACATATATTAAGAAACTTGCAAAATCAAAACTGATCCAAAATATGATTTAATTTTGCCCCAAATTCAAAACAACAAACCAGTTTATTTCAATGTTTTTCAAAAGTTTTTTTTGACGCTGAGTTTGTTAATTTTTTACATTTTTTGATGACATTTTTTACAATATGAAAAAAGGTGTCAATTCATATTCATATTGGTATGCTAATTTAGCTGACCCGCTGTTGATCTGTATATTAAGAGTATAGTAAAAAAAAGGGCGGATCCCTAGCGCATGTTAATACTTTGAGTGATGGGACCAGATGAATAAAAGGACGGATGTTGAATACATTACTTCATAGAAAGAGATGGATAGAGAGAGAATAAAGACAATATATAAACCAATATATCTGCATGTAGCTGCTAGTAGTTACTAGTAACCTAGTCAACTGCCCAGTTTTTAGGCCCACCCGCCCTAAGCCCAAGTCCAAATCACCTGGGACTGACTTTTTACCCTGTTTTCCTCCGTACCTTCATCAGAAAAAAGACATCTTGCATATATCAATTGCACTTTTGAAATTATATCGATGACAATTCATTTTTCTGGAAATTTCTATTCTGTTTTTTTTTTATATAATCGAAAATTTGGCTGCCCAAATGTCAGTTAGGAATAGAATTGAATTTTTCTTGAAATCTTTTTGATGTTCTGGAAACATTTTTGTGGGCCTTTCTTCATTTTGAAATATCAATTTAATAGTTTTTTATCGTCTTTCAACTCCTATTTTGCTTTGTGCTGGGATGGGAATGAATTGAATTGTAATTATGCAAATATAGGACTGGATTTATATTCAACAGGATATGAGATTCTCTCTTTCTCTCGTTTGATTGCTGCTCTAATTCTCGACATGCCCCCCCCCCCCCGCCTGATTTTAGGTGCAATGACATGTAGCAGTGCAAAGTAATGAAAAAATAGACCATGCTCATAAATTCCAAAGTTGCTATTTAGTTAGTTAATCTACAAGCATCAGTGATGAAACGAAACGAATGTCTAAACCGAGAAATATTCAGACGAGTCAAAAAACCATACTTAATTCTTCAACTAGCCAATTTTTTCTCAGCACTTTGAAAAAATGATTTTTTCGATCGCCTCATCGATTTCTTATGAACATTTTGGCCAATTTCCTACAGAACCAGAAAATTTACACATGAAGAAAAAAAATATTTTTTTGCTTGCAAATTACTTTTGCAATATCTCAATATTTCTAGAAGTGACTTCATTTCAAATAAAAGACCACATTTTTGAAAGATCCCCGTACTGCACTGAGAGTTAATTTAACAACAGAATAAGAACAGACAGATCATATTTCATACCGTGCCGCAACGTGTGTAGTTGCATTTAAGTAAAATTTTACGTGAGCCCAAAGGCAACATAACGGTTAAAGAGCTAGAGTAGAAAAGAGAGAGAGAGAGTGAAAAAAAATTGACAAATTCTGGGCCGGATTGACTGCTGCTACTCAATCAATGCTGTTGTGTTGCGGGGCCGCCTTCTAAATTATGGGCACGTCATTGCATTCCGGGCAAAATTTAGCGGGCAGCGGCAGGCGCCGCGTACGGGGTGGGGTTGGGTTTAACAACAGGGTAATAGATACGATTGCTACATGAATATGTTATGTTAAAAACACCATGCTAACTAATGCATCAATGCATATTGACAAGCACGTAGACAGGAACAGGGTTACTGGAAAAATTACAATTTGAATGAATGCTGATTGATTTAGCGCAGTAACAGTAGTATATTGGGGCGGCAATTGCATTTCAACAGGGCTGCTGCAGTTGATTTCGAGCGGGTACTTGAATATTATTAAGAGTATACAGGGTTTTAAGTGTATATAATTAAGGGTTCGACAGTTCAACTAGTTTCGTAACTAGGCTCAAAAACGGAGGTAAAACCTAAAAGTTTCTAAATGATTTCAGTTGACTCAGATTTCCAAGATAGATTTGATTAGATTTGATTAACCTTTGTGATAGATTTGATTAACCTTTTAAAACAATCGATTTGACCAATCAGAGAAGAAATCTTTCGGATGACGTAATATTCAGTTAATAATGATTGTTGTGAAAAAACTGCTGAGAGCTGGGGACAAGGTTGAAATGGAAAAAAAGTCGCGTCAATTTTGAATAAGGAGAAAAAAAAACAGTTGCAATTATGTAATCGATTGCGCAATGTTGCATGCATTTGTGAGCAATGTTGCATAATTCTTTTTAGGCGGCGGAGCGAAAAGGTGAACAAACGGGCTCGAGGCTGAAGTGAAAAACGATAAAATTGCTCAGAAAACTAAGAATCCTTGTCATGGCTAAAAACCAATGCATTGTTTTTTTGATTTTTTCTAACAATAGTCAATGGTTCATCAAATGTTTTAGATCAAACTTTTTGTGCAAAAGAGTGATATAGGTTCCATAATCTAAATCGAATGAAACAAAGTAAATTTTAAAAACCCGTTTTATTCATCAACGAAATATTCAAAAACATTTTTTGATAGTTTTTTTTAGTGAAAACTTTCTAAAGCAATAATATGCTCTATAACGTATATTTTTCTCACAGTGAGTTGTTTTGATTCATGCTAGGGTAAATGACTCACTTAGCAAAAACTTGGAGGGGGAAAGGGAGGGGTGGGTGGGTAGCTGGATGATTTTGAAATCTGTAGGAAAAGGGAATGGGTATATGAAATGAGGATGTGGAATGATTTTGGGGGCTTGGCGGAGGGTGTGAAAGTGACAGCTGCCCAGGTGAAAATTACTCATAACACGTCACATATGACAGCATAACAACACATCATAACATCCGATGATGACAACTCATTCACATCACTTAGACATACATAGCCCAACCCTCAAACCCGCCCTAACCCTTGCCTCGCAACAACTTCCAAACAAGCATTAAATGAATGAAAAACAAGGACTTACAACCATAAATCATCAGTGGAGTATGGTATATAGAGAGAAATGACTTGGATTTAGTGATGCAATAAATAATGAAAGTAATGACCCCCCACCTTGTCCCAAATTTCAGATCAATGTCAACTCCCTCTTTACTCCGCCCCACCCCCAGTCAGAAGAAATCAACTCACTCTACACTGCTGAATAAAAGACTATAAAAGGAAACTATCTTTTCGCTAAATTCCTATTTTGTAACCCTGGTGGAAAAATGAAAAACGTAAATAAAAATAAATATTCCGTTTTCTTCGAAAGTCGGAACAAAAAACAACATACTGCTTCAGAAGATTTTAAGGCCCATATTAATTTTTGATAACATCTATAATTAGGGAATCAATTATCATGCTTGTACCCAACAGCTCATTTGAAAATCAAAGCAAGCAAGGCTCAAAAAAAGCTGAAAGCTTAGCTAAATACTAAAAAAAACTGCTAACAAAAAAACTTCAGCAAAAAACTTTTCCAAAAAAAAACGTTTTTAGCTTAATGTCATGTAATATCTGCTTTCTAGGGCTAAATTGAACCTTTTCTTATGCTAAATAGAACCTAAAAACTAAACTTTGATCAATTTTACAAAGCTTCTTAAAAAAACTATTGATAATAAATGAAAACTAGAACATAAAATTACGAGTAAAATCATGAAGAGGTTCTTAAAGAGCATAGTCATAAACATTGATAAATCAAAATATTTAATCCCCAAATTATCAAAATGCCCAATATGTTCCAGATTTATTATTAAGAGCTGCTTATGGTCAACAATGCAGGGACCTAGTTAGTAAACTTAATCAGATTAGGACTATGCTATCTCGCGGTTTGTTTACAAGTCATGACCGGGAAACCATTTGGCAAGCCCCGGCTACAAATTCAGCTAAACCAGTAATAATTGATTACGAAGTCTGTGTTTCTAGAACGAAAAGACACAAATTGGAATTAAAACCCCCACCCGTTGCTCCAAAATGAACAACCCTAAAAGAACCGTTTCAGCGCAAAAAAATGAACTTATGAATCATTGCAGATAAATATTGAATCACATTAGAAGCAGATATTTATTCACGCGAAAACTTTGCTTTACCTTGTTTTCTTTCTGAGTTGAAGCATTTTGAAATTGTTTTTGTTTTAGTTTTCGATAAGAGTACCATCAATTGAAAATTTTAGAAGTGCAGTGTTAAAGCAAAGCGAAAATCGACCAAAATTATTGTCCCAAAAACTCATTAGAAATCTGAAAACGGTTCTTTTAAAAATAATTAATAGTTGCCCAAATTATTTCAAGAAAAAGAAAAGTTGTTCCCTAGTTTTAAAATTAATCATTATTGAACATGCGAATTTCCTTTGCTCTCAAGGCCAAAAGCGGAAGTTAAATTTGAACCTGAAGTGAGAAGTGTCGAAAATTGCGTGATTGACATTTATTCGGGGTGAATAAGTTGGATAATGGCGGTAGAATAAGGCAGATCAAAGCGGAAGGTTGACGAATTAACTTTGAGTGACAGCTGATATTGGCATTTAGGGTGGACAAAGTGAGAAGTTGACAAACAATTGAGTTGGGTTCAGTTCAGTTTCGGTCGAGTTCGGAATTATATAAGCACAGGCAAGGTGTCACCAAAGTTGAAATGACAGAGATCAAAATTAAAAGGCATGTGTCACAAATTGTCTCGCAAGCAAAGGCAATCCAAAAAAAGTAACGTAGACATACATACGTACAACAGGGAAGGAAAAGAGGAGAATTGGAAAGCCGGCTTGGCTTGGATTGGAAAAATAGAAAATAGCAAAATAAACAGCGACTCAGGAAAGAACGAATAGGAAAATGATCTAATGTGCAAGTTGCGCTGAAGACAAGAGTGAACAACTACACTACTATTGCTGAACTAGTAGGCTAGGAAGAAGGGAGGCAGTAAAAAAGAAGTAGAAAAGCTGCTTGGAATAAAAATTAAGGCGTTGCTAGATCAGAGTTGAGGTGGATTTGTGCGGTGGTGATTGTGATAGCTGGCAGTTAAAGCGCCGAACAGCCAGTAGATAGAGACATACACGTACACACATGTATAGAAGTGGAGGAGATACAGGAGGGGGATTGAGGAGGCGGCGGCGGCGGCGGCCAGTCACTATTTCAGTATTGAGTGGAGTAGTAACAAATACAGCTTAATGATATGCCGAAATCCAAATGATATTTCTCCCAACCTCCCTCCAATCCCTATTTCACTATCCTACTTCTACAACTAGTAGTATCCTTCTCCTGTCTGTCTTACTTAGCCGATTCTGTCGTCGCTGCTATCACACGATTTCACTACTTTTGTGTCTTTGGATTGGCTAAGAAGGAAAAAGAGAATAGAAATAGAACGGTAATTCGGTCTGGGTCGCCATTGAAATCGCAATGACAGCATTGTCTTGGTTTCTCTATTTTTTCGCACCCCAAGTAGCAGTAATATTAGTAGTTTTAGTTAGTTGGTATTAGTTAGTATACCTGCCCTTTTCTGTAACTGATTCTCATTCCAATTCTAGCACTACATGTCACTAGTTGTCCTTAGAGCTGTCGTAGCCTTATTTTTACCGTTTTGTCACGTGGTTTTGTCTTTCTCTGGCTCTTTAGCTAGTATGCCGGACGGTACGGGAGGGGCAATCTATTTCACGCTGGAAGTGAGATAGGGGGGGGGGGGGTGTTGGGGGATTAGGGGCAGGGTTGTGTTGCGTTGTCATTTGGGTGAAGTGAAAGTGAGTGAAAGAGAGCAATAGAAATATTGGCTCAATTTGGGAGGGATCTATTTCCCTATTTTATACCTCCTTTGTTTATTGCCCCCAGCCTTCAACCCCCCACCTAACCGCAGTGCAGTTGTACGTTCTAGTTCCATATATCAAGCTCCCTTTCCTCAGCCCAAAAGTAATCATGGCAGCGTATATATGACTTGTCATGTCATAAAGTTGGGCTGGCGCAGAATAAATAAGTTCAATAAAACTGTGGCCGTCCAAATCCACATTTCAAATTCAATTTCCCGTCCCCCATTCTGCCTTCACACTATTCATGTACTCGCATTTCATGTCACGTCTAACTCTAACGTCGACAAGGGAGGGATTAACTCCGTTTTCTATTTTGAATTTCGCTAGAAAACGTCTGCTTGAAAACTCAAAAACAAACAGAAAAGTCTAAAAAAAGTTCCGAAAACTGTCCAAGCAGGATTCGAATCAACTTTTGTTTATTTACCAGGTTAAAAAGGTCAGCAAACTCAACAGATCACAAAACGAACCTGGATCAGAAAATATACAACTAATTCGACTTAAATATCAGCGCGGAATCTAAACAATAATGTCGACTCATTGCAATTTGTGAAGTACATTTAAGAGAAATTTCTCATTTGGGAGCCTTTTCGATGGGGCAATGAAACGAGTACTGTTACTGTCAGGAAACTTTGGGCGGGGCAACAGGGCGGGGGGAGGGTTGTAATTGAAATGACTGGGCTAATACTGCATTAGTAAACAGTGTGAATAGATAAATAGGGGAAGACAAAAAAGATAAATGACATGGATTTGGATGTTGTATTAGTTAGTGTATCTAGCTACTGCTAAAAATATTTGCTAGGGTATAGCAGGGCTTAGTTGGACGGATAGTTTTCATTGCTTTTTCCCTGCAGTTGGGGCGATGGGTGTAATTTGCTCTCTGGACGGGCGGTTATTGAGAGGTGTGGGGGAGGGGGTTGGGTTGGCTTGGAATTATTTGTCCCAGCCCAGATATTATTGCTACAATTACCATACAGATAGATATTACAACAGCCAGCTAGAGTTATAAAAAGTACAAATTGCCAGAAAAAGAGAGAAAGGGAAACTGAGCCGTCCAGCAGGTCGAACATAAAAGTAGACTAGACTTCGCTTTCAGTCACAGTTTTTAACCTATACAAAAATCTATCCGCAACTAGAGCTTGAAATGGGGACCCAAGAAATTCATAAATAACAACATGGCGACGGGCGAAAATATCTATCCAATGCCAAATTCACAGACACTTCAATAATGTTTTCGGATTTATTTAAATTAATTTGAAAACATGAAAATTTTTGCATTTTTTTCGCCAATGTTTTTTACCAACATTTACTGTGTTTTAACCGTGTGTTCATTCTTAATAGAAAGCAAAGGTAGTATGTATAATAATAAGTCAGTGTCTGAAATACTTCTAACTAGTATTAGCTTTTGTTTGTTTGTTTATTGAACCCTATTTGAGCCGAGAGCGACGGGACGCGACGCTATAGTGGAATTTCCTTTAGTGACAGTAAGTAATAAAATAGGCGCCGTATTTGAATTTAACGGACCACCGGTTGCCTGTTACGTTTGTTGAAATGCCAGACTGAAAATACACGATCCTCCCACTTCCTTCATTCAGTTCCGCTACCCGCCTGCCTCGAACTAATCCCACCCTGTGTCAATGTGTCTAATTGGTCAGTATGCTAGAGTAACACTTCTCGACGCCACCTGCCAATTACAACTGCTACAGCGTCATTCAACACAGATGCTAATGGTGCATATAACCGAAAATACTTTCAGTCGAAAAAAAAACAAATAGTCAAGTTAATTCGTTTGATAAATAGTTCACACTTGATTTAACTGACTTAAAAAACTTTACCGAGTAGATCAAAACTTGGACCAAACAAAATCTTAGACAAAAAAATCAAAATAAATTTTGATCGATAATAGTTTTTTTTATAGAATGACAGGATTTGGCAAATATCTTACTCAAGTGTGCTTCAATTCCTGTTTTCTATGCACAACGCATACGCAGCGAACTAACACGAATTAATATTACAAAGTGACGCTAACTTAGTTATTTACCAATTTTTACTACTATTTATTACAAGAGACAAACTTAGTTGTTCGTATCAGAGCAAAACCTTCAAAGTTCCATATGACCTTTGGATCAAGATATGTCTCAAGTATTACTATATTGGGAACTGGCGAAAAGTTCCAGAATAATTGGAAAAATTAATAATATCACTCCACGTGTTATTTTGAATAAAAAGTGATATGATTGTTAATTCATGAATCACCATTTAATCCAACTCACAATGATCATTTTAATTTCAATAACTTTGGGGACAAATAAGTCACTGGTTACGCGTTGTGCACAGAAAAACATAACAAAAAATGATCTCGTTAATCAGACCAGACTTTTGGAATGTCTACTCTAAAACTTCGCTCATAACTTCACTAAAAACCATCACATTTGACAAATTTTCGTTTTAAAATTTAGTTTCACCAAAAATTGTTAGTTTGATCATTGCAACAAAAACCAGAGAAGACAAGTATTTTTTCAATATATTTTTTTGAAAATCGGAAAAATTTTGCCCTCTTATAACAGCTTATAACCAGATGTGAATTATGACGTGAAAACTTGCGGGGGAAAATGTTTGCGACGGTTTCAATTAAATGTGTTCACTTTCATTTGAGAAATCTGTTAAGAGATTTCTAACCAAAAACTATACTGGCTGACTGTAATTTACAAAAAAGCTCAGCTAGGATTTTAATGAAAACTTTAACTGGAAACCTAACTTGAGGGCGATTTTGGACTTGGCATATCAGCCCATTCCTACCAATGGAACCAAAAACCAAAGGGAAGCTGCGCTAATAAGGCGACACCTGTTTCGCCTCGGACATTGATTACAAACTGATCAATAATTGATCTTAAACAATTCAAAATGGAAAAGAAAACATATGTATAGATGAATGCTCACTGTTATAGTTTTTATTTTTCCTCCAGTTGTTTCCGTGATTCCGGGTAGAACACACTTCCCCACGAGAGAAATTTTTTGTACAGATTTAATGAAAATTGTCAGTTAATTAACAAACAGCAAAAAAAAAAAGAAACGAATAGAGATGGTAATAATGGCAAATGATTTGATGGAGTTAATTTAGATAGCTTAATTAACCAACTTGCCGATCAGCAAATTATTTGAAAACGCTCAATCAGACTTTTCAATCAAGCTTGAATGACGCAATTTCAATACGCCCAAGGTGTTTTAATTAATTGTATTGTACGTAAGGTAACAAACTGCAGTAATGTTGGATACAGAATGTTGCATTGATGGCATTCAAAACTGTAATAACAATTAGATTGATAATCAAAAGTCAGGAAATAGAATAGAACAATTTTTCCTGAGCGTCGTCGCAAAATCAGATAATGATAATGACTCAAGTCAAACTCAACAGGTAAATAAATTGATTGTTTCTGTTTTGTACCGCCTTCAGTTGCGTTTTCGTACCACAATACCCTGAAACGAAAAGCAGTGAAATAGAAAAAAAACAACTTGAGGCTAAACTATCTCCCTGAAATAATTTGTCTCTAGGGTAATCGAAAAATGAAGTGAGAGGAGAGAAATAGATCAAAAAGTGAACACTGAGTATACAATTCACGAGCACACGTCATCAAGAACCTTCTAATAATTGGCAATATAACTGAAAGCAACCTTTCACGACAAAAAAGACGAAAAATAACTAATATTTTAATCGATAAACTATAATTTTTTGCCGCGAAAGAATTTAACATCACTAATTTGTGCCTGTCTATGTAGAACTAATATTTTGAAATCAAATCGCAATTTTTTACAAGGCGTATTAAAAAAAATCGCGTTTTTCACTATTGAAAAGGACTGGTTTGAAATTGGATAACTATTTTTGATGGATATCGCTCAAAATAATTAATAGAATTGTTATCTATTTTGTGTTATTTGTTGTAAATAGTTTGTATTTGTAATCTTGTGTGCATTTGTTATTCTGAGCTTGGTTGGCGTTTTTGCAATTTGTCGAAAAACAGATCGCTGTTCTGATTATAATATACCATTATTATGGTCTCGTTGTCTCTATCAAATGGGGCCCACATGGACATAATTTGTCATAATTTGTAAGTTATAATTGGCGTGAATCAATGTAGAATTGACGTGCTAGGTCGGAGCAATAACATTATTATGCCGATTGAGCTGAATTAGACCATGTTTTATTACTTGATTCACAGCATGAATTGCGGATTGCAATTACAACAAGATTCCAGCCAGTCTAAGTGTCCAAGTTTACAATTACAAACAAAATTTCAAACTCAAAATTTAGCCAAAGTTCATTTTCTAACTTTTCCAAAAAAAATTATCGATGAATACCATAAATTTATAGATGAATACCCCTCCCCTTCAAAAAAAATCCGTTTAGGGGGGGGGGGGGGGAGGTTGTTAACTTGATCCTAAATGTCTAATGAAGTCTGCTGTTAAGTTTACAAAATCTTGTAGTTTGAGAACGCAGAGCTTCGCTTAGCACGATAGTTCGGTCAACGTCCTAAATAATGATGGGTTAAATAAGAAAAGTTGGGACCCATATCTTTCATTCTTGTCTTGTACCAACGGTTAAGAAGTTGGCGTCATAAACATGTTCAATTCTTATGTAATCAACCCAATTAATGGTATAATTGGATTCCGACAAAATTTTAGTCCTTTAGAAAAAATGTTGCTAAAACTATGTGAATTGAACCACAAATGTATCAATTGCAATTTGAGCAAAACACAGGCCGAAATTACGATGTTAAGTTGGTCCAAATTATTTAACAAAAAAAATCGAGAAATTTATCTCTTATTAGAACACGGATACAAGTATGATAGTTGGGTCCCTTAGAATGGGTCCCTGAAGAAAAATTTTTTAGGCTTCAAAATCTTCGAAAACGTGGTTCGCATTTGTTTTCTTGTGTTTTTGAAGTTTTCACAAAAAAGCGGGACCTATCTTGCGTATTTGCTTTTTTCAGGCTAGCTATCATACTTGTTCCAGAACATGTCATAAAATTCTTGTACCGAAAACTTTGTCTTTTGGTTAATATTCAGCCTCTGATTCAATAAAAAAAAGGAATTCAAAATTTCACAAACGATCTTTTCTTCCTTTTTTTGAGGTGATAAACCGGACTGGGGAAATAGTGGCTAACAAATGCTCAAAAAAATTAACTAAAAATGGATAAAAATCATTGTTATACTTGGCTAAAAAGCTACTTAAAGGGTGGTTTAGGTGCAGAAAAAAAATTCTCTAGCACTGGTTTCAAATGAAGAAAAAAAAAACAACCAACTTACCTGTTAATACTCTTCTAAGACAGTAGAATTTCTCAAAAATTAACTCCAGGACAACACTTTTTTCTGCCGCGACTGTAATAAATATGAAAAGTGGGAACAAAAACAGTTAAAATGGTCTGAGAAGCGGGAATAATAAAGATTCGGTTGTTTTCTTGGCGTCCGAAATTTTCTTGTTGACTGTCGTCAATTTTATTTCATTTCAAATTTTTCTTCCGGGCTTTGTTATTTTTTGTATGAAGAGGGAACAATTTAAAATTGTATTTTTTATATTAATATAAAATATTATAATATTTTGTATGAAAGATATTTTGATCGATTGATTTGTTTCTTTCTTTTCTCTTCTGTTAGCTGTTCAGTTGTTGTAGTAATTCTTTTCTTTTACTTCATTTCTGTTCTCTCTCTGACTCGCTCATGTTTTAAGATAGGGAGCAGTTGTGTTTTATTTTCGCTGTTCTGTTCTGTGACTGGCTAGAAATTTACAAGAGAAACAAACGCAGATTCGAGATTATTGTAGACTGAATTTAGAAGCGTTTCGTAGACTGAAGAGAATTGAAGACACGCGACAGAGACAGAGAAAGACAGCTTAAACGACAGCTGAATGACAGCTGATAGCACAATCCTCATATATGGGAGACTTTGGAACTGGAACTGAAATCAAAGCCGAATCTCAGAACATCTCGCGTCCCCCTCCTACCTACATGGCATCTTGGTAAATTTATCAACTCTGATTTTCAATAATTTCATAATTTTTTTTTGGTTACACGGGTTCGTCGTTTGTTTCATCGGATTAGTCAGCTTATGTTGCGCATTTTCAAGGAAGAATTGTTTATAATGCTTTTGCCTGTTTCCGGAGGTCGTAAAAGTTTTACTTTAAGCATTTTTATAGCTTGGATAATCTTATGTCTAGAGTTTCGTTTTCGGCTTAACGAGGGTGGAGCCAAGTTTTTTCCCCTTAATTGCTACTCGGTCCTTGATTCTTAATGCTTGTTAAGACTGTTTACTAATATCGTCCGAGACAAAGCTATGAATTTTTTGTACTTTTTTCAATTTTTGTTTCCTAATTTTAAAAAACATATACTTCTTTTTTCGGCGTTTTGTAATGCAATGTTTCAATTGTATCGCAAACGTTGCAAAACTCCGCTTCGCCTCTGTGTATATATCACGCTCGCCCCATCCTACATTTTGAGGGAAATAATTCACCCCTCCTCGACCGCCTATCTGCCTCCTTTGGACAGCTGAAGACATCGCTTAGTCAGTAGCAAAAAGACCACACAACACATCAAATGAACATCTTCTTATCTACCCACCATCCCCCCCCCCCCCCAAAGATAGAGTTAGAGGGGAGCGGGGAGGGGTCTTAACTTGATTCGGGTCCACCACAACTTAACACAAACATTCTTAGCTATTTTGACTGACATTTTTTCAAAAACCACTTGGCGTGTCGAAAGCCTCATCACATCCTCTTTGGTTTTTGTGCATATTTTATTTTTGTGGGTAATCGCCAAGGGTAACAAAATGGCTTTTTCACCAGTCTGCTCTCAATCAAATGCACAATGCATCCACAACCCCCCACCCCCCCCCCCCCCCCCCTCAACTCCTGCAGTTTTCCAGAGCGACCTTCATCAGCAGAAAAAGATACAGAGTACTCGCAGAAAATTTGCAATGGCAGATGATGAAACACCTCATAATCTCACCGAACGCTTTGCAAGCAAACAAAAAGCGAAACCATAGCAATCGCCTAAGATGGAGCAAAGTACCGTCAAAAATATTCGACCTTTTCGGAAGCTAGCATTGCAGCAGGCCTCAATTATATTTAATGGATTTTAGTGGAATTAAGTCTGTATGAAACACTTTTATGCAGAGTATTGTACAGTAAAAGGCTGAACAGCATAGACTTAATTGTGGATATTTGAAGTTAATTACGGGGTCAAAAGTCAACTGTTAGGTTTTATGATTGGCAATCGAAAGCCAAACAGAAACAGCGATAGGCATAATATTGAGAAATGTTTGAGAAGTTTAATGACACATCAAAACCTACTCTAAACCCGAAAGCAATCTTCACGCAGCAGTTTAAATAAAAGAGATAAGTACTTATCATCAACTCTGTGTCGTCGCATCAAATTTAACAAAAACGAAGAATGAGTCGTTATCAATTGTAAGAATGTTCCCACTAATTCTATCAATGTACAATGCTACGAATATGAAGCGGCCGAGAAGTGAACAAGTACCGCCTTTCATGCCGAAGGTCAATGATTCGAGGCGCTCATAGTCCGTGCTCTTACCCAACTTGAAAATCAAATTAATAAAAAAACTTTCGTAATCCGAGAAATCAGAAAAGTTGTAACTCAAGGCTTCGGGCTGTCAAAAAACGTTACATCGCTGCAAAAATCAAACCTTTAATTATGCACGTCAACCTTTAAAGATTTAAAGAACTGCATTAAAAAGTCCCTTTGACTCGCAAAAAGGTTGAACTACTGACATCTAAATATATACCAAAGTGAAACAAAACAATTGAACTTGAGAATACGAACCAGAAAAACAATAATATAATTTTCGTAATTTTGATCGAAATTTTCATCTAAGAGAACGTTTTTGAATTTTTTTTTTGATTGAGAATCGTAGAAAAACTCATTCTGCATACTTTTGAATGTGTTTAAAACGCTTTAAGAACACAAGTTTACTCGTATAAAGGTAAGGCCCTAAAGGTTACAGCTGCCCAATAAGATCTACGGAAAACAATGTATTAATAAAATCGACTGATTAGTAAATTTTTAAAAATTAAAAATCCAAAGACTTCAAAAAAATATTGTTTTTTTTTCCAAAACTCTTCACCCCATACGCTATGTAAAGTATAAACTGATGTATTTAGCGTCTACCAACGTATTAAAAATTCGTAAAAGCTCGCTTCAAGTCAGTTCTGGATTTTCTGGTCCGGATTAAATCGCCCATTACGCGTTAATAGCGAGAAACTCGGGCTTGAATTGCTCAAGGTTACTGCTTTTTTCTTTATTTGATCTCAAGACCTTAATAATTTTTTTTTATGCTGTAAAGTTTTGCACAAAAATGTTATTTTGAAAGTCGGAATTCGTCTGAAGAAAAATTACACCGAGCTCAAATAATCCATCCCTTTCCTGAAAGTACGGATAAAAAATTTCAAAATATTGCATTCCCCAGTTAAGACAAATACTAGCAAAAATAATTCATTAAAAACGAAAATGGTTTCGAGCAAATTCTAGGATCGTTTAAAGTTGAAACTATCACTACAGAAATGGAATCACTACAAAATTCTTTGAAAAAAGTTATAACCCCTGGTCTGGGAAGATTTCATGGATTTCCTATTTGTAGTCTACCACATTGTGACCTATTTTGCCTTTGATCATCAAGTGAAATTTCTATGCTAAAAACATAGCCTTGCAAAAACAATTTTTGGATCTACTTTAACTCTGAGAACAAGAGCATTTCCTCCGAAAAGAATCAATTTATAATCAATGGAAAGTGTAAAGCTGTAAAATATAAGTATAAGAAACTTCAATTTAAAAAAATAGTTTGAATCTGGTATGTTTTGAATGCTCAAAACGTGTAACAAATAAATCTGTATTTATATATTAGTTTTTTTTTGAAATTAACATCGATTTTACCAATTCTCCAAAAGGTTACACAGCTTTCCAGTACAAATATATCTCTACGTTTTCCCGAATTCGCGTTTGGGGTGGTAATTTGTTAATAAAACTTTAAAATTTTGAATGAGGACGTCTGATATTGAAGATTTAACACTAAAACATGCTGTTCGTTCTTAACAATTTTTATGAAAAAAAAACTTTGTTAATTATAAAATAATAAAAACAGAACGCATAGATAATAGTTTTTGCACCAATTTGATTATTGATACGTTTTTGGGAATTAACCGTCAATCGATGGTTCAACTGGAATAAATAGTTAACACATAAGCAAAACTGCACTTCGCAAACCAAGCGAGAAAACGCTCAAAGGAGCTTTAAAAGACAAAAGCCAGCGCAATAAGGAAAAAGAATACGTATAGAAAATAAACCTTAAATGAAAAAAACTAACGATAAGTACCGGAATCCAAGTTAATTAGGATTTTAACTTCCTAGAATCTGCACCACGACCACTTGCAAACTGAATAACACTAGCTACTAAAGAAGCAGCTAGATTAGCAAATAAATTGCCGAGGCAATCCTGTCAAAAGTGCACTTAAAATTTAATATTATTTTCAGTAGTCCGGGTTGCAATCTACGACCAGCATACTAGGAGTCTCACATCCTCGCATCATGCTATGGTTTTTTGGAAGTAAAGTAATGGCCCAGATGAAGCTGTAGATACCTTTTTGATTCTAAAATTTTGTAACAATACGATGGTAAGGAGTTATAAGTAACAAAAAGAGTGCGTCGAAAAATGATGCTATTGTTATGAATAATTTGTAACAAGAGCTCATAACGCTCCAGGTAAAAAACGGCGGCTAAGGAAACGGTTGGTGAAAACTGTTAGTGAAAATTTACCAAGCATCATAAGAAAAAACTGAAAAAATTTGAATTTCTAACAAAACTGTAACTTAGGAGCTCATACGATCCGTCATGATGGTACGAAAACTGCAAGTATGGCAGTGGGGCTGAGATCATCGTAATATGATGAGTGAAGACTTGAGACATACATAAACGGGTAAGTTAAAGTTAAAGTGCTGTTAACTTATATGAGCAGCGAGAATTTGAAAAACTATGCATTTTAGATGTGAGCAACGTAGTACCATCATAACTTATTTTAAAACAGGGTCCTGCCTAATCATCTTTCGGTGTAATATAATTTATCTACTCTCGTACAAGTTATTTTGCGTACTTTGCTGAATAAAAACTAAGAACGACAAAAGAATAAATTTCATGCCAAAATTGTTGAAACGTGGCTGTAGCTAATGCCCAAGCCAGTATATCCATTTGAAAAGAGAAGAGAAAAATCTTTCAAGAAACCATTAAAATTTCTAATTCCAAAGCGGTATTTCTACCAAAGTTAAAGAGGATGCCTTTAATCACAGAAAAACCCTAGTTCTCGGTCAAATTATTACAAATGGCATTTTTAGGGCCATAAATTTTTTCTAGAAAAGTTATTGCGTAACCTCTTATGCAAGAAAGTTATCACAAATTACTCGTTCGGCTAAGTCATGAATCCCACATTGGCAGGGTAAATTTCGAGAACAGTTAAAACGTTCAAAAAAATGGTCGCATATGTCAAAAAACTACCATTTCACAAGGCTGTTTTTTTTCTTAAAAAAATGAAGCAATGTTTCTCCAGAGAAGAAAGAAATGTTTCTCCAGAGAAGACTGAATTTAGATTGAATTTTTAAAGTCGGTTTTGGCAGGGTAGTTTTTGGTAAAAGAAAATAATTGAAAAAGATCAAAACGTCAAAAAATGATGTTCTTTTGAAGCCAAAACAATAGTTCTACAAGTTTTAAGGTGTAGCCAATAATGCAGGGAAGATTACCAATAGCTGACCAGTTGATTGTAAGTGCAATCTCTGATTTATTTTTTGAGAAAATAAAAATTTACAAAATTGTTTTTTAAATAGTCATTTTTAAACGGCCGTAAGTTTTTTTTGAAATTAGAGGGTTGCAATTTGTACAGAAAAAACCTGAACCTATTTTTTTCCACGGACTTGGGTGGGTAGCTTTTGAGAGGAGTCAAAAAGTTTC